TTTCCTCCATAGCTTTGCAATAGCAGCTAGTCTGGGAGGCTCATCGATAGTAGAGATAACTGAGTACAGTCTAGGCTTATTTGGTGTAGCAGCCCGCTACAAATTGGTGACCCTGACGTGATTGCCAAAGCCTGACTTGAAACACTCAGCAGACAACCCATCTCTACTGACACGGCGATTTTTTTTTCTTTCCGCGTTGCTCGACTCACTTGGTGATTTTTTATCTTCGTACAATCACCAACGACAATACCCTCTTTTCTACTTCACAATGTCAAAGGATACCGAAGTCGTCGATAACACGTTTAGTTCGCCCGCGGGGTATCCCATTTTTGACACGAATTACCCAGGTACTTGGTTTCTGCAGTTCGAGAATATGCTTCGAATGAAAGGAATAACCAAGCGCGCAACCTGGTTTTCCCACGCTGTCATAGGACTACCGGCCCCAATCATAGACCAATTCAATGATATTGCCGCTCAGCAACCAGACAACAACTCTTACGAACGTCTCAAGCAGGCAATCACCAGTCGTTATGCTGTATCACAAGATACGCGTTTTAACCAACTTTGGTCCCAGAGCGAACTTGGAGATCGCACGCCATCTGAACTCCTGAAGCACATGCGCTCTCTGGCCAGCGGTTCGGGTTTGAACGATGAGTTCCTAAAAAACTTTGGAGGAACAACCTTCCGCCCCACGTTGCCTTAGCGGTAGCTTCGCAATCAGACCAGGACGACCTCAGTAAATTAGCTGAAGTGGCTGATCGAGTCCACAGCTGTATAAACATTTAAATGAAGAAGGTAGTACAAAAAAAGAACATTTGCTTCAGAAAGCGAAATGCTGTACTGTTCAGTAATTTTTCCTCCAACAGTGCAAATTAATTTTGGAGCTCAGATTTAACAGTTAATGTGTGAACGAGGATTTGCTTTAATTGACATGTTTAATCACATATTTTATTAATGAGTTATTATTTTCCCTTAATTGGAGACACACACATTTCAATCACACAACTTTAAGGGATTGGGTGATTACACCCATATTATCAGGATAGATTGTGTATTAATCCACTTGAATAAATGGGTAAATGACTATAGCCGGAATGGAATAAGTGAGTAAAGAATATGACATTTACTTATAAAAATTTAGAATTCTTTCACTATTGCAATCAGCTTCTTACTATTGCCCTTTGCAGATGGTGGCCAAAATTAGTGGAGTGAGATTTTGCCAAATATTCGCGAAGTAGAAAGCAATGTAATGAACACGATCCAATTTTTGCGATAAGGGTTAAATTGTCATACTCAATATTAGCACCAAATTCAATGCCGGTTTCAAGATACCATTAAAACCATTATTGTAAATAAGCAGTTTATACGCAAGGCTGCTCCATGGAAAAGTTTACGCTAATTCAATTTCGAGTTTAAAAAGTTAACTGCTAAGGTGCAATCACCAAAAATCTCGCATCACGAATCTGCGAAATTTTTTGGTGCTGACAACGCTGAGAAAAAAATGTATGAAATTTTTATTGATACTTACCGCTCCGAGGTCGAATATTTAAACGTGATGGCAACAAAAAAAATGAATTGGGCAACGTCAAGACATCAAAGAGCCTTCATTTGATATTTTTTTTGGTTTCATGTCATATAATAGTTTCTTAGCCTAACTGCCAACCACGCCAATTTTATTCACCATTTTCCTTTCTAGTTTGATAAGGTGAAATTTTTTTATGTGGGGCTATACAGCTTACGTGATCTTAACAAGCCTATTCGCACCTACTAGAGGACATAAAATTGCACGATGTGATAACACAGGGAGCTGAATTTAAAGGGTAAACGAAACCTGTAAACCAATCTCTATTTGGCATTTCAATAACGGGGGTAATTTAAACTCAAAATCTAAACATTTAGATTATGGTGACCACAATTCGTATTTGTTCTTTAAGCATAGATCTCCTGTAAATGCACCATTTGGCGAATAGGACATCCAATGGCTGGTAATTCCATTTAATGGTAGCAGTTGCAAGCTGAAAGAGTAAAGTGCTTAATTTGGCCTATTGATTTAAGAGAATCGTGTTATTTACAATATTCTGATTTTTCTAATTATTCTATAAAATATTGTTAACCTCCAAACGGGTCAAAGACACAGATCTTGTGAACTTGACCTCGAAGTCCAAATTTTGAAGGTTTTTTAAGGTCATCGCGAAAGGGCAACCTAGTAACGGCGCCCATAATTGCCCTTTAATTACCAGACCTCTCTACCAAATGGAAATCTTCCGTTCAGGCAACATTAAAAATTGGGTTGATGTGCCGTGTGGCACACCTAGTTAACGCTCCATTTTCAAGAAGGTAATAAAGACGAAACTTGTAGTGTCTTACAATCTATTGAATGTAAATACCGTCCTCACTGATTTAAGCAGAAAACGGGCGTCTAAATTGGTGGGTTGTGTCACAAGATGAGCACTCCCTTCTACCAACTGAGTTGTCCAAAGCTCAACCAATCTGCCCAGAGAGAGAGAGAGAGAGAAGACTAGAGAGTGAGTGAATACGCTATCTTGGGGCAGTGGAAAGAGGAGCTGTTTCCCATAGTTTAACAGACAGCTCATAAATAATGGAGGGGGGGGGGGTTGTCCCTGCCTACTTCAATGCTTCTAGCTGTAAGACAGAAGACGAAGTTTATTGATTAGGGAGAGCATAGAAAATATTTTAAGTTCCTAGCTTCCATTTTACCATCCATCTATCAATGCTTGGTGATAGAGAACTCCTCCCTCAAATGTGGGTGGGGAAAAATGGGAACCGGCAAATAGACAGAGTTTGATAACGATGCATTCCGTTTCCAAATCTGGTCAATAATCAAAGAAATCTTTCACCAAAGGTTAAGTTGACAAGTGTTTTACGGGAAGGGGGTAACCTTTACTTTCAATTACACTTCCAATTCGAAAATTCATTCCTATAAACTACAGATAGGTTGAATATTTAGACTTGAATCTTCAGGTAAAGGATATGATTTCGAGGCAGTCACCGTTCCAGAACTTAATATGAATAAAATTTCCCAAGGCTATTTTTGCAATCATCATTTCCCAAAATTTGCATTTTATGTTCACGACACATAAGAGGGCTAGAGAAATCACCAAAAGGTCAAAAAACCCAACGAGTAGATGAGTCATCGTTCAAACCAGAAATTATAGAAAGGGGCCAGTAGTAAACTTACTTCCCTGTAAAACTACACATCAGAAATCGGTTTATGAATTGTTTATGAATTTACTGCGTGATTATCAAACGCTGTATCAACAAGTACGAATGAATGTTAACAGGAGACAAAGGAAGGAGTGGGCAAAAATTATCATGCACAAATGATAGGAGAGGCAGTGACAAAAGTAGAGAGGGAGCAACACTGGAATATAGCAGGAGATATAAGTAGGGTGCTGCATATACGCACACAAAGACAGCACATGGGACATTTTGAGGTGTACTTTTTGGAAAATGAAAAAAACAAACTGTTGTGCTGAGTGCTAAATATGAAAGAACACGCATTTTATTGTTGTGTATAATGAGCAAACTACGCAACAGGAATAGCGGCCGGTTCTGGGGTAGAATTTGGTGCTGCCTTGGAGTTGTCACCGGCTTCCACTGACTCTCGCTCAATTCCACTGCCAACGCTTCCTCCATTGGTGCTATCCGATTTCGAAGAATCACTGACAATCGGTGGGCTGCTTTTGGCATTTGAAGAAGTATCCGATTTGCTGATAGCAACTTCGTTCAAGATGTCACGGAATCGAGCCCAATGATGCTCCGGGATGGTAACTGCAGTACGATAGTTTGATCGTAATTCTGATATACGTAAGAAAACGCCATAGCGGTTTGACCCTACATCGAAGTAAAATGTTTTGTTTCCGGCGAACATAACTTTCGCTTCAGGCAAATCAGATGGCGCGTCTAAAATACCGAGCGTAAAATAAGGATAAAATGCAAGTAACTGAGGATTTTAAGATGAAAGAATAACCTACTTAGATCAGCAACACTGCAGTAATTAGCAATCAATTCAGCGATTCCGTCACGCATACTAGTAATTCCGTCAGCTGGAACGACTATAGTGACACGAACACCCATAGACAGCATCGAAATGCGCAAGAATCTACCACGTTCATTCTCCCTGAGGTCGAGGTAATAGCGACGATTATCCTTTACAACGTTGGCGGATTTTAGCAAAGCGTCCGGATGAGCATTTTGTAAATTGTGTTCTGTCAATGTACTAAGAGCTTCAATAATTTCATCTAATTTTTCTTTGAACTCGTACGCAGCTGGGACTGACATTAGGATGCGTGATTTGTGTCCATTGACAGCGACTTCAGTAATTTTTATGAAACGCCCACGGTCATTTTGCTTCACGTCAAGATAAAAGCGCTTGTTAAGAATTTGTAGGGTCTTAGTTGCCAACTCCTGTTCTTCAACCTGTGGAGCCCTCCTACGTTGTCCGTTGCTTCCTGACATAGTTGCTAATCAGGCTTTCGCTTTGGGTCCAAACTAGTTAACCAGCTCCAAGCTCACCCTAGTAAAGTGAATATTTAAATTGTGTAATATAATTTAAAAGTCCCGACAGGCAAAAATGAAGTAAGATTTTTAGATAAAATCTAAGTACATGAACTAGCAAATCGAATATATCACGAACAATAAAATAAGACGACTACAGAAACAGCAGATAAAACCAAAATAAGACCAACCACAACACGAAGACAATGGCCTATAACACAGATTTAGTTTATTGGACAGTTCAAACAAGAGAAAACATAGAAGCGAAATAAAATTTATGACGAAGTCAATTGGTTATTTTTCGTTAAAAATGAGTGCTAATTATATGTCTATTTGTTTTTCATATTTATTAATCACTTTTCTTCAAGCCACAAAGGTCTCAAAAAATTAAATATTATCTTGGTTCATGAATAATTCAGAATTTTAATTCGATTATGCTATCTTTTTATCATTAATTGTTTCAATTTGATTCCAATTTATTATGAAATAGAAAGGGTATAAACATCAATCTTTTGTTGAATAAGTGCTATATCTATTTCATATTTCACCGATTAAGTAGCATTTATTTTACTTCACACCATCTCAGAAATATTCTTTGTATGCTTTGATCCTTTATCACTACCTAGTTTTCCATATCTTTTCTTGATTTTTATCTTATTCGGCTTGAACTAAGGCGATGCATTGGTTAGAATCCAATTTTGTTTTGTCAATTTATAATCTCTGAAGTTTCGAGTGATACACTACTCCTGACACCGTAGATACTAGAATACAGGCGCATGGCAACTTTATATAATAGGATGCTCAGTAAATTTTTGTGAATGAGACTTGTTTAGTAAAGACGCCTTATAGTCTTTATGCTTATCAGTTCACCAGTTTAAGTTGTTTGCGAAATAAATAAAAAATATAGAAAACCGGTAATATTTGAAGCAGTCACTAAAATTTCTAACCAACAACAAATATATAATGGAATTTGCTGCCTTTAGAGAACCTCCCAACCATTGGCAATCCGATTTCATTTTCTATCCATTATTTGTTCCGTTCGAATGCACAGCGGAGTACTGCTGTCTCCCCGATAAAAATGGTTCATCGAATAGTAACTGCACCTAAACACCTGATGGCCCAACTACCTTCCCGACAATATCAAACGCAGAACATTGCCATTTCTTCTACAGTTTACTCTCCTTACATCTGTTCGTCATGAAAGCGGAGTCAAGCTTTAAAACGAACTATTATTAAGTACCTAGCACCAATTTTTAACACCGATTATTGCACTCAATCAATAAAGTGAGTAATGGTGATGGAAATTCAAGATGCAAGTGGAGTGAATAAAGAATGTACAAATATTGTCAGTTCATAAATTTGTCTGCACTAGAGTGAATAAAATTGCCTAGAAGAAAAGTCGTCTCTCAGATACTGCGTGAATAAAAGGCGTTATAACGGCAGCAGTAGAGAAGTAGAAAATAATGCCACAAATGATGGAGATTGGAAGAGCGGGGAGGGCCCTGCGCGCAACTGCTAATGCCACAATTGTCAAACACATTCCCACTAGAATTGCCACATAGCAGGATATCGCTGTTAGAATATCACCATCTAATGATGCCCGACCTATTAACACACTGTAGAAGACGAAATCTCCCAGGCCAAGTTTAACACCTCGCTCCTCGCGGTCAATTATATCCTCCTGAAAAACAAAGTTATAAAACAACAGAATAATTAAAATAAATCGAATTATAAAATATTTCCACTGACTTGAACGTCTCGTAACCATTCATTCGGTGCTTCCAATTGATCCCCGCTAGCTACCATCTCATGAGACAGGGCTTCATTTGTCCCGGTTGTCAATGGAGGACTCGAATCGTGCCACTCTTGGTGACTATTAGAACCATCAATTGGCTGATGGGATCGATTACTTTTAACACGGTTCCCATCCTAAAAAGAAGAAAAGGCACATTTATAAGTACGCAAATTAAAAGAAAAAAAACAACGATACTACTAAACCAGAATGAGTCTTTTATCAAAAACTAATTACCCAGATCTATGGTCAATACAAACTCCATACGAAAATGGCTAAGTCCACGCGTACTCAGGAGAGTATATAGTAAAGTAGTAGATGAAGCGAGAACGGAATCCAATGAGATAAATTTATACCGATAAACTGTTGTTCTTTAATGCAGGAAGTTAATTAGAGATAGTCACTGCCAGTGCCAACAGTAAGATCAGAGTTTGTTTAGCTGGGGAATCAGAAGTATCCTACTTCGCCTAAACTACAGAACCATCAGAATGCCGGTTTATGAAATTTTAATTGGCAAAAGGTTTAATCACCTTTACTGTAGTAAACTGTAGTAGTTTACTGTAGTATAGTGGATTAAAGCTTTTTTTAGCATAAAGAATTCTCGTCCTGGCCTCCTCTACACTGATAGCTGTGCTAACTGATATTACAACAGCTATTCTGAGCTTTTCAATCCGTCGATTTGACAAGTATGAATGACCACGTCATTTCGATTTAGTTGCACCCTTTTACACAGTCAAGAGAAAAGATTCTGTGGGGTAATGGTGCCCACCAAGGTTCTATGAATAAAAATTTATTAGTAATTCCATTAGACAGAAATTTCAGTCAAAAAATTTTTATCCAGAGTGTAAGCAAGTGCTAGAACTCTTTCGATGAATACCAAGTTCTATGCTTTTACTGCCCCTGTTCTTTACACAAGTCAGTGTATAGAAATTTTTACCAACACTTGGTTCCCCACGTTCTCGTCTTTGTCCTCTTACAAAAACAGACGTGGCTTTACTCCAAACTTTTCGAATAACGATTTGGAAAGATTGGAAATATGCCATTTGGAACCGAAGGCAGTTAAGACAGTAGAATATTTTATATGGTCAAACTCACATTCATTGCTCCATTTGGATGTGTTTGGCCGCGCGTTTCATAGCCTGGAAGAAGAAAAGGGAAAGAGGGATATAGACAGGGGAATCGCATTCGTTAAAGTCTTAACCCCATGTTGGAGATATTAAATCTCAACCTTCCGTTCTGAGCAAAGTCAATTTCAGTCGGTTTGGTTTCTTTTTAGTCGAATTAAAACTCGACATTTAGCAATAGTTATCATTTCACAATTATTTTGGTCCCAAAAACTGAGACGATAAATTCGCACATTTGTTAAAATTATGTTTAATAAAACTGAAAGCCCACACAAATGTACAGTTGTTAAAATGAAAAGTGAGATCAGATTAGAAAACAGCAGTTTTAATCAAAAAGTCATGAGAATACAGGATCTGTAAAAGTAAGATTAAGCGAGGCGCCATTTTTTTCAAAACCAAGAATCAAAATACAAAAAAACCGTCTCAGAGCCCAAAAGAGCTTTAAAAGAGATTGCAGGAAGAGAAGGTTAGAAAAATCTTATTAAGGCAGGCAAATATGAGAAGCCATACACTCGATGAAGAAAAGAATTAACAAACACAAAAATTGCCAATGGTGAGGGAACGACAATTTGCTACACTTTCCCTCTGCCTCCAAAAAGAGCCATAGTGACCGATATCTATTTAACTCGATCCACACCGAATTCATGCTTCTGCTTCGCCATTGGTCTATTCTATGTGCAGCAAGTACTTCAGCAAGGTCGTGAGCATATCCAATAAGATAGGGTCTTACTCAATTCGTAATTATTTTCCGCAAAAGATGAATTCGAGAGGGAGCCTAAATGATGGGGTTGAAAACCACAAGAGCTCACTGAGAAAGACTTTTACATTTCAAAAGTCTTGAACTAAAGATTCATAAATTTACTCTGCACTTAAATACATAAAGGCCTACATTTTTCCAATAATCAAGACTTACAATATCATGGATATCACAATAAGATTGTCCCTAAGCAAAATACATAAAATAGTTGAAGTAAATGGATTAATATCAATTAAGAAGCTAAAACATATCAGAAAACACACCAGAGTCATGAGTAGGAGCCAGTGAAGAGGACTCAGGATGTCTACGGCGAAGAGAGGCGGGAGGCATTTCATTCAGATTTACCAGCGTTTGAGCTCCCGTCCTCTCATCTGCTGTCTTCAATGGAATTGCTTCCTCTCTAGGTTTCCTAGTCGTCGTAGGTGAGGAGGGACTCGCGGAATCAGCAATGTAGGCTGCAGCAGTAGAGTAGATGATGGCAGGAAAGAGGGGAAGATTGCGCTCTTGTGCCATCTCAACCAACATTCGAAGAGGACCACGCGGACATAGTACAGCTATTAGATCTACAGATTGAACAATAAAACCTACGTTAAAACTGTTACAATAGAGCAAGTGAATAATTTTACTCTCCACTAAGCCGCTACGAGATAGATCTTAGCATTTTTGTGCTTTTCAATTACTGCGACGAAATAATCTTGAAAAGAAACCAAATAACAGAAGCTCCATTCACTAGACATTCCATTGATGAAACATTAGCAACTTATGTATACTGGGTGTCAGGGGGTAAATTTGCCAGTTTCATCGGTAGAGTCAAATGAAAATTAAACTATTGTCAAAGAGTTATACTCAAAAAAACCACCATTAACATCTATTACAGTTGCAATCCGACACCGACAAGAGAATTGTAACCTTAAGCAATTTGATTGCTAATATCTCAGCTTAAGTCAGGCTTTATAGCACTATCTTGAAATAATTAGATTTGATCTGATTTTGCCAAGATGAAAATGACCTAATAAAGTAGTTTCAAATTGAGAAAACTACAAATAATCTGGCTAAAAAGGTTAATAAAATCAGTTAAGATAAGAAGAACATAAATGTGGCAATGATATCATACCCCAAATGGATATCGCACCGAGAAGCACCCAACAGGTCCATTTTGGTAGAAATCGCAGGAGAGTGAGAGCCACAACAACACTGTTGAAAATAAGGTAAGCCTGTTGCAAGACAAGAGGACCGCGCCAGTGAATGGAAATGAGGCCCAACACTCCAAAATTCCAGAGTAAGATTGCAAATGTTATATTGTCAAAGAAGATCCTTGAGGCTTGCAATAATTGCCTAAAGAGAATTTATGCCAGAAATAGGAAGAAAAGTAAGCACAACTAGACCCAATCAAGACAACGAGACCTTGAATCGGCCTTATGTCTGAACGATAAATTCAAAGTAACCATCAAAGTTGCCGTTTACTTTGGCAGTTAATGAGCTTAAGTATAGAACACACAAGACATTATAAGAGATACGTTTGAAATATCTATAAGACAGTAGTTTCATCAATTAGTGAATGCTCTAGTTTGACATTCTATTGCACGATTTATTGAATAAGTAACAAACATACCCCCATCCTATATCAAACAGTGCCTAAATTAATAAGACCATGGAAAATTAAAACCGAAAAAAGTTGACGCAGAATCAATAACAGACTAGAGCTTTTTTTCTTTTTTTAGATTTAATAAGAACGCAGTAAAGTATTATCATATATATGGCCAACTAATAATTTTACAAAAGCATTAAATGATCACTGAAGAGAGAGTAGTGAATAAGCATTTATACTAGCTATTTAACATAAAATCAGAGACGAGCATAAAGGAGAACAATTTGACACCAAAATAGAAAAGAAAGACTTACGCAAAGAATGTGAATGAGGCTAAAAAGACCACAGCGAATGTTGCCATAATCAACCACCCTGTCAGAAACTAGAGTAAATAAAAGAATACCGGAAACAGTTGAACAGTTTAAAATGATAAACGATATTGAAGGAGTTTATCTTACCTTGTAACACTTGAATTTAAACAGCAGCACAAGTATGAAAGTTGTTACAATGACAAAGGTTAAAATTATGGCAACATTGACTAGAGTCTGCCAAGTTTGTGTACCGATATCAGCATTTGGAGTGTTAAACGGTGCATATACGAAATGAGCGTCAGTTTTAGAAAAGAATGGAACATTCTTGCTTATGAAGGCAACGAAAAACATGCATATTGATACTGGAATGAAAAGACTAGGAGGAGCAAAAAGTATTAGACAGGGTGATAAGGTAAAGGTGACATCTACGATAACACATTACCTTATAATTTGCTTTGCACCAACGCGAATAATAAGTTTGGGACTTAGGGGTGAATAAGTAGACTCTGATTGTTCATGAGATCGATGACTAAAAGTCGAGGATGTTTCATTGTTCAAATGGCTGTGCTGTTCTATTATAGTGTCGTCACCATTGCTTAACATGATCTACAGGCACAAATAGAATTTAATACTTTATATGTAGTGTTATAAAACAAATTCGCAAACATGCTCAAAGAGGTCATGTGGAATTCAGCTCAAAAGTACATACGCCAATAAATCAAAGCCGGATAAATTTAAAATGCCGTAGACGCTTTGCAAATATTCAAACCATATTGCCATTGCAATATTTTCTTTGTTATTGATAAAATTAACAAAATTCAATCAGAATTTAATTTTAAGTCTCTTTGAAGTGTTAAACTTGATCTATATACACATTATAAAGCAATTTAGAATATTAGTGGATAATACTTATTTACACTGAATAAAAGGTTAAAAACCAAAAAATGATATTCGTAGTTCTTTAATTATGGTATACATTCTAAGAATTTTATTTAATTTCGTGAATAAATTTATAATTTTTTCAAATATCTATATCGTTTTCCCTCAACGTTTGCAAATCATTGAGAATTTTTTGGAATGCCTATAAAACTCTATGAATGCTTGAACGATAACTGAACTACTTATTCAAAGGTTCATGTGAGGAACGAAAATTGCCCTACGGTAAATCAATATCAAAAACTTGCTGAAATGTGCATATGATAGCATGTTGTCTAATCATATCTAAAGTTCTTTCGAGCTTTAGGCTTTTTAAATTCTAACGCCATTGAAACTCAAGTAGCATAGTGGGAAAATGATTAGATCTAGCTTGTTTTCAAGTATTATGGCGTACAACGGGTAAGTCCCTAGGAGGAAGAGGACCGGAGACAGCATTAATATGAGATCGAAGAAGTAGGTGAGTCGTGGACATAAAAATTGAAAGAGACTATTACAGATGTTTAATAACTCGGGTCAAATCGATTAAGTGAAGTGATTACAACAGGTGTCTTGTATTGTTTACTTTCCATTTTATACTGCCCTAGATAATGTTGAAACCAGAATTTCGAACTGAATTGTAAAATCGGAATCGCTCGCAATTAAAATTATTTAGGGATATTTACGATGAGCATACATTTTAAGGTTTTGGGAATAAAATTCTAAAAATATGTATACGAAAAGTTTAACAAAAAATATTTAGGAAAATTCGTTAACTACAAACTCACTTCTTAACTTCAAGCACATTAATACATAATTTTAAAATTTACTAATACTATCCGGTTTTAGTTCGATCCGGAAGCATGAGAACCCATAACAAAGGTTTCTGAGATTGAAATGTACTTGTCATTGTTTCATGGTTCTAAGGCTGAAAATGAGCTGTCTCGCAAATATAAGAAGGCATCTTGTGGTTTTTCATCATTAGAAACGTAGTCGCGACTGATATAGCTTTCTTGAAATTCTGAATGGAGGATTATTTCGAACTGTACATTAGCAGCTATCATGCGCTATTTTTACATAACGTTCATGTAAGAATATTTCCAGTAAGCGAATGTGCCATGTCGTATTGGTTAATTCAAATCAAATGCGATTCCTAAGCTAACAAGGTTGGTTATTTCTATTATTCAAGATTTGCGTTAAAATGTGCTTTAAAGAGTGGTGAAATTAAAATAAGATATCGAATTTACTCGATCATATATAAATAATATATATATCACATTTGAAAAAAATATCTGAAATTGTACTTGCAGCGGTAAGCTGTTGAAATTGATATCAACTTGGTTATTAAGTCGCGTGATGGGACTAAAATCTTACAGTGAGGATATTTGGTGATAAGAAGTTCTTTTAACAATCCCTCTGTTGACTTTGAGAATCAAACCCAAATGAGAATTGGGGCGAAAAATAACTAAATTAAGATATTTTATTTGTGTGATTGATTAATTACACTTTGAATAAACGTGCACTTACCGTTGATGGCTGACGCAGAACCCATTTTGTTCTTGATGTGGCGGTCATGGAGCTAACAAGTGGCCCCAAATAACATGATTACCAACTCCGGGTCATTTAGTTGGACAAATCTAACGTAATTGCACTATCTCATGCTTTAAATCTCAAAGATTTTTTTGCCAAATTAAATGCAGTATTCTGGACACAAAGTCTCCCATAATTAGTTGGCTCGAATGTCTACATTTTACGTGACATTCTGGGTGCCGAATACAACTTGATTACATGTCGTATTTGACACAAATACTATTGTTGATATTATGATAAATGGGGTGTGCAATAGACTTACCTCCTTGTGGTGCACTCTGGGTAACGTATACTCATACGGCAAAAAAGTCTATTAACCGGCAGTTGACTTCTGACTTCAAACTATCATCACCCCACTGTATGTCATATTCGACTACTTCCAGTGTGCTCACCTCACCTTTTTTCTACCTTTGTGTCTGTCTCTTTTACATCTTTGAAACACTCTTCTGTTCTCCCCTCTCCCTCTCGACATTTTTCACTTTGATGTTCCTTCCCTTTTGTGAAACCTGAAGTCAACTTAAGGGCTAATGATAACCACCAAAACGCCTGCCATTTGAAATAAATATTATGGTAAATTAGAAAAAATTATTGTAATATGATATTAAAAAATGTGATATTAAAGAAAATCGAAAGAATAGCAGTTATTAATTTGCGCGAAAGGTTATGAT